GCAAACAGCTGGGTTCCCCCACGACAACAAGTGGACACTTACCTGGATGTGCTTCCCGTCAGTGGTGTAAACTGCACTCACAACATGCCCCTGCCTAGGTAGTCTGAAGTGATTTAACTTGTATTCGATGTCTACATCAGATTAATCCGGTTTTACGGAAAAATTATATAAAGAAACCACTTACTACACTCCTTTAATATGATCACGTTTTCACTGACCTTTTTGCTTGATGAAATTTGGCATTTGGCTTTAGCATCCCCTACTATGGTCTCTATGACTTTAAAGCGTATAACCCAGTCATATACCCATTCGCAATCTGAGGAGGAATACCCTCATCATTGTCAACCCGTTAACTGCATCAAATCTAACAGAACTTCATATAGCATGGCGAGTTAGTCGATCCTCAGTTAGTCAATTTTATTTCCTTTTCTTAGTCTCTGCCTTTCGGTGGATGATTTGCGGGCTTGACAACAACTAACGTTAGCAGTCATCATCTCGATGGCTGGTAGACGGACCTCGGCTGGGGGGGGGGTTGTTCGATCCAGTGGCTCCTTTACTCTCCCGTGTGGTGAGTTTGATATTGAACAGTATTGAGTCTATTTGCGGAGTTTAATCTGCTGTCTCGCCTGGTTTTTCCGCAGTTAGTTACATGAGACTGTCCACGTCGGCAGAAGGTCATCATACCCGTTGATTAAGTCTGCATCCGAACACGATGTCTCAGGTGTGAGTCGTTCCGCCGACTGCCTCGCCCTAAGACGGTTGCTCTTTGAGGGTCAAAGACACAGTTTGATACTTGCCTCCGAGGTGCCATTATCTGCTCGTGTGGGCAGGTCTGCGCTTGTCGTCCGGTTTTCCCAACGAAGCTGCAGTTCTCATCGCTGCAACTTCCGAGACTTCGGTAAGTGGCAGCATGTTCTCATTTTGCAGAAAACGACGATCATTCGTGGCCCGCGGTCTACAGGGCTGGCGGTAACAGTGGAATCCACTGGCCCGGGAGGGTTTATGGACGCCCGTTCGTGTGCTGCGATCTGTTTTAACTTTTCAAAAAAGAGTGCAAACGCAGTAACATTTGTGGGACAAACGGTGGTTTCTCTGGCTGTGCGATAGTTGTTTTGTGTTTTGAAGTTTGCCAGTTTCGCAGGGGACGTCGAGGAAGGATAAGTAGTTGTTTGATCTGACTTATCGTAAGTGTGATATTCGGGTCAATCTATTTCAAAAGTCCCTTGAGATGTGCAGTGTGTTTTGCTCTGATAACCACACGACGGGCCCAGAACTTCGGTAAGTAGATAAATACCAAGTCTTCCTCCTGTTAAGGGACCATTTCATCAATCAAGTCTGATAGGCAGGAGCCTATAAGAGCGCCCTCACTTCTCCATTCACCCATCAGTCAAGAGTAGAGGAGGTTTTAAAGCAGTGTCGTTGAAGCTCGAAGAAATGTTCAAATTTAAAGGCCTTGTCACTATCGCTAGATGTTGTGCAATGAATGTAAAGAGCGAAACGGTAGCAAAGGACTATTTTGGTCACAACGTCAGATGCTCAAGTGTTAGAGGAATTGATTAGCCGATGCTACAGTTGTTAGCGAAGCTTCAAAGGGAAAAGTAAGACGGCCAGACATCTGTTATGGCAAACCACATGCGCAGTAAGCGACAGATCAATTTATGTGTTAACGGTAATTCTAAAATGCCACTTTGATTCTAAGGGGTTACTTAGGTTCGACTGTAAGGTTGATTATAGAGTAGCATAATCCCAGGATA